TTGCTCTGTAAAAAGGTGTGAATCATGACTAATAAAGTTTCTACGTTTGGCAATATAAAAAAAAAAAAAAAAAAAAATACTACTATACTATGTTGTTATACTTTTAACTACTTGATATTTAAACTTATAATCTTGCAAAAAAAATTTAAAAAATGCTAAAAAATATAAATTTTATATTTAAATTTATTTTTTATATTTATTTTCTTAATTAAGTAAATTAAAAAAAAGTGTTTTTTTTTTGCAAATTTTACATATAAAATTGAGATGAGTTATTTCATTTAATCTAATAAGTAACTAATTTTAAGCAATTTAAAAAACATATTCTATAACTATATATAAAGATTTTTATTTATATTGCTTTAAAACATTAAATTGTTCAGCCATCATAGTGAAAAGTAATAATATATATAGCAAAAAAAAAAAGTCTATAGAAGTTTGTATAAATTAATCATGTATAATGCTACAAAGTTTGGGCAGCCAATAATAAAGCAGGCTGGCTACACGTGATATTGTCTATTGAAGTTTGTGCAGTTTATTTATATTTTATTTCAGGCCTACTGAATAATTGATTGTAGGGGCAATTAATTGCAATTTTTCAAGCTCAATTAATTGATTGATGGCGCAGTCACAATTGGTTAATTAAACATAATTAGGTTAATATCATATATTCACCATTACGATATGATTTTTGATTTTTCGCTGTTTAAAAGATCAGGTTATACCAGTGAAAGAAAATTGAATTTAATTGCAATTAATTGTCATTAATTGAGTTTCAATTAATTTTATGATAATTTTAATTGAATTTAATTGTATGACGTATGTCAAAAATTAATTGTAATTGATTTTTCGATAGGCCTGTTTTATTCATAAATTCTATATAGTTCCAGAGTCATTTTTCTGTCAAAGTCTTATATTATGCTGAATTTAAGTACTATTTATTCCCTGTCTCATTATAATCGCATGACGGGGATTTACATTTTATTAATCACAACTTATATTGCGAATTTTTTCCTTTTTTTTTTCCCCTAGGGTGATAACAATAAAGTCCGGGGTGATAACAAAAAAGAAAAAAAAAAAGAAAACAATTTATAATAATTGTGATTAATAACACGCAAATTCCCGTTATGCGATCATAATGAGACGGGGAATAACTAAATATAATAAAAATTGCAAATTCTTTATTATGAAGACTAAAGAAATATTAAATATATAGGCCTAATAATAAACGAGTTAATAAAATAATAAATTTAATAAATTTATAAAACCACACAGTATATATAAAGATAACCAATTTTATATTTATTATAAAATAATAAGAAATAAATATCGAATTCAATTTTAACTTTTATTTAAAAAATCAAGCTTGAAATACCAAATATATTTGAATTTGAATATAAATATGGTTTAAATACTTCAATTTAGATGTAATCAGACTCAATATTACAATGACTAAATAAATTTGAACCATTCGAATAAATAAATAAATAAATAAGAAAACTCCTCTTTTGAAAAATCGTGATGTTGTAAGTTTCATGATCAAATTTTAAGCACTAATTACCTGTTACATACGTACGTACATAACTTCGGTGATGATAGCATAGCGGGCATTAAATTTGATTGGATGATCACCCGAAATGTTACACAATATGAAAGACTATTAGAGTAACGTTTCACAGCTACAAAATTGGATTGGCAAAGCTTGACACCAAAAAAAATCAGTAGAATACCTTCCGTTCTATCAACTGTCAAAGTAATTCGATAATCCGTGAAGTAATTCGGAAGTTAGATGAGAGGTATGTTTAAACATTTAAGTTTAGCCTATAAATACAATAAATCAGCAACTTTTTACTTGTGAAAACTTATTCTTCGTAATCTCAACTAATAAAAAACCTGATTATAATATAAATAATAATGCGAAGTTGTAAGTTATAAGGCTTATATATTTCATGAGAAGAGTTAAAATGAAATACAATAGTGATACTGTAACTGTATAACGAACGATTATTAGATAAATTAAAGATCAGTTTGATGTTAAAACAAGCATTGAAAATTGGGTTTAATTATTTTCTATTGGTTCTAGAATAATTTTAAATATTAATTCTTGTATTTATTATTATTATTATTATTATTATTTATTATTTTATAATTTTTTTTTAATTTAATTTTTTTTTTCTTTTTGATTCGTAATATATTGGGATTCTTAATAAAATATTGGATTGTCAAAATTTTGTTTGCGACAAGATTATAGATTTAGGTTTAAAGTTAATGAAATTTTATGGTAAAGATTTCTGTCAGTATTAATTTAGTTACAAATATAATTATTTTATGTATATTAGTTTTCTTTATTTGCAGCGATTCGATTTAAAACTTCGATTAACCAATGAAATTTTTACGATTTCATGGGATGATCTACAAAAATTGACCAATCACGATGAAAGCCCGCTATGCTGGTGACGATATTAGGTTTCTAAAAGGCACAGTGATCGCGGAAAGATCCGGAAAGAATTGTCACATTTTACCTTTTGAATGGCTGACCCAATTTAATGATTTTATGATTACAGCTGTTCTCATAAATTCTGGGACAATGATAAAACTTATTGAATTCGGCCGAAACAATTTTTATCAGTTGTTCCAGAATTTATGAGAACAGCTGTAAACCATTAAACAGTGGCAAATGTCAAAATTAGATTCGGAAGACGGTACTGTTTAATGTTGATATTTTATGAATAGCCAATCTGTTTTCAATCATTTTAGCCTTAAACGAATGCTATGAATGTTAGAGTATCGGTGCATCACTATAAGCCGATCACTCTCATGTAACAATGACATTTCGTGAACGGCAAATCCATTTTAGATGATATTGAGCTTACCGTTGTTTTGGGCACCCGTCGTTATTTCGAATACGCTCATGTGCGTTATTTAAGAAAGTCAATTTCCGAATTACATTGCTATATCATTTTTTTTTGGCGGCACTCATTTGAGATGTGCGTTATTTCGAAATCACATGTCTCGATCTCCCATAGTCGTTATTTCGCGGTTTTACAGTAAGCGAAACTTGCTATTTATAATACTCGTTTAAACAATTTGAAAAATGGTTTAGCCGTTCTTAGCATTGTTTTTCCATTGTATTTCGGACAGTCAATTTTAGGATTGCCCCGAAAAATGATCGCTTTGTATTATTAATTACCCAATCACATAGCATTTAACCAATAATATCATAGGATAGTACACGTCACTCTGGTTATATCGACATTTTTGAGACATTAGTTATACCGACATTTTATATTAAATTTTTGAAAAAAAATGTCGGTATAGAAAGATTTTACTATGATGTCGTTATATCCAGATGTCGGTATAACCAGAGTGGCGTGTACTCTGTTCGAAGGACATAACTCTATAGTATACTCCTAAAAAAAGTTACGTACGTACGTGACTAGGTTAAATTTTCTCCCGACAAAATCCTATGTTCAAAGTTGTGTCGAAAATATATAACAATAAAGATGTAGAAACTGTTATAGCTTATGCCGTAAATAGTTACTATAATCCGTAATAATTTCTATCACATCTTTAATTTCAAATTCTTTCGATTATGATATCACTTGTAAAATTATTTATCTTTCTAAACTAAAATAATTTTATATAAAAAATATTAAATGTTAAATTTATAATGAAATTATAAATAAATTCTATCCACATCTGTAAGTACTTATAGAGAATAGTGAAGTTAATATGAGTAGATATTTTCTGACATATATTCACAACGCGAAAAAAAGAAAAAAAATCAATAATTATTATAATCGATTATCAATCTTATTCATTATCATTATCAAAAATAGTTCATTATAGACAGCTAAGAATTAACTAAACTCTAACAAAAAATTATGACTAAAGTCTAATTAAATAATTAAAATAAAATAAAATAAATGTAAATAATAACTTTCTAATAGTAAAAATTTCACACATTGTAACTTTTTCTATTTTCCTCCTTCCTCCTTAATCGGAATAATAGGATAAAGATTCATCGGTTTTATAGGTATTTTTCTCGAATTCGCGTAAACATCACTATTTACACTATAAGATAAAATAGAAACATTGCTGGAAAATTCGGATTTTGTAGAGAAATTACTAGTTGATGCCGAGGATATTGATTCGCGTATGGTTTGTAATATTCTACTATTGATAGAAGTAGGAGAGCCAGCAGAAATTGATTTAGGACTGTCGATAGGTTTTAACGGTACGACTGTAAATTTTGATCTAGGTAAATTGATAAGGGGTTGCAACGGTGGGACTGTAGATTTTGATTTAGGTAAACTGACAAGAGGTTGTAACGGTGAGACTGAGGATCTTGATTTAGGTAAACTTTTGGGAGGAGGTTGTAGTTGTGGGACACTTATAGGTTTAGGAACTAAAACAGGATTCGTTGAAGTGATAACTTTAGAATTTAAATCGGATAATTCATAGTCATAATATTCAGAATATTCAGAATATTCAGAGTAATTATAGTTAGATGAAACATCTATGACTGGTGAAACTTTATCCAAGTTATTAAAGCTATTAGAATACGAGGTAGGATGAAACTCAAATCGGGTTTTTGGAAGTAGACCATTAATGAAAGTGGCCATGCGCGTTAAAGCATAGCGTGAGTGTTCGCCAAACGTTCCTAAAAGAATCGGATAACTGTTGACAAATAATTGTTAAATAATGTAACAAATTTGTCAAAAGAATTAACATTATGAAAGGAAGGAATGAACATACTCATGAACCATATCTTCATCCATCTCAACAACAACATCAGGATGTAATCCGTCCTTTACTTCTATTTCAGCAGATATCAAATCATCAGAATTATGATTTCCTTCAGAGAAGTTACCTTTCTTACTATTAATACATTTTTGACAGAACATTTCAATATCATCTCTAAGCATTTCCTTCCCTCCATAAGAGACAAAAAGAGGAGGATATTTTGCAAGAATATGATGAGGTGTATGTAATGGAGAAATATATGGATTCCTAAATGGATCATCTTTCTTTGTAATTGAATTCTTTTTTTTTTTTAATCTCTTCAAAGGTCTTTTTGATTTTGAAGTATAAGAACTTCGAGAATTGATTCGTGTCAAACTTTCATGTTTTACATGTGTTTCACCATCTTCAGTTTGTGTATGAATTTCAATAAAATCAGAAAACCTAACGGAATTTCTACTTCTTCTCTTTTTTTCACCACCTAAGGTACTAGGACGAAGAATCGATGTAGGTCGTGAACTGTGTACTGATCCGCTTCTGCTGATCCCATCAGTATCATTACTGTTACGAAGAATTGATGCAGGTAGTGAATTGCGTATTGAACCATTCTTGTTGATTTTATTAATATCATTTTTTTTATTTGTGCTAATCTCATTATTTTTGTTCATAATACTACCAAGACTATCAAGAAGTGATTGTGAATCATCCTTAATTGAAGCTGACCGAGAACCGATTTTGTTGTATGCTTCAAGAATGCTTTCAAGACGTTCAGCTCGTGCATCATTATCTATACTAAGGTCTTGACTAAGGTCTTGACTAAGGTCTTGACTAATATTTTGACTAAGATCTTGATTTAATATTTTACTATTACGTGAATTTATTACAATTGAATTTTTCCTACTCTCAGATTCACCTCTTTCAGTAATATCAGTACTTTTCTGATTGCTTTCATTAATATCTTTTATAACATTAAGATCTAAATTATCTTCAACATTTCTTAACCAAGAGAAAATAGTATTATCATTGGTCATGTTTTGATTAATAATTTGGGACCGACGCCTATTAAGACTTGGATCACCTCTTTTACCATATACATAATATTCAGAAGCGAATTTCAACAAACAACTTGACAGATAATCATATTTTGCATTTGTAAAATGTGAAAAAGAGTCACACGATAGTTCTACCCAAGGAGAAATTAGTAATGCGCCTAAAGGGTTAATTGAATCGGTAGTCGTGTTGTCGCTGGTATGTATACGTTGTAAAAGTCCTAGAACCATTACCGCACCTATCGAATCCCCACCTATTCATTTAAAAGAAATGTAATAATAAAATATTTATATTATTTTTTTATCAATGAATATAAAAATAATTATAACTTTTATATAAAGAATAAAGCATTTTCAATACTTACATAAAATGACTTCCTGACTACCAGGTATACTACTAGAAATCAACCATCGATAAGCACGTTCTAACTCATTTAATCCAACGGGGAATGGATTCTCTGATGCTAGTTCGTAATCAATGGCTAACACCCTAACATGTTGATGATATTTCGTTCTTAAAGTTTGTAATAAAAAACATAATGACTGAATACCAGATATTGATGTAGCTGATATGTATGGTCCTCCTATTTAAAAAAAAAAAAAACAACAAAACAAAAAAGGGTTAAATATTTCAAAACCTCAAGTTGATAAAAAAAATTTTAACTTACCATGAACATATAACAAAATAGCTTTTGGAGGTTGACCTTGCCAAGTATCAGCACCTAACCAATACCCATTAAAGTCGGTATCATCGCTTAAAGATGTTATTGGTTCAGAGCATTTAAATGTTTTCATAAATGATTCAAAAAGTGATACATTTTTTCGAATCGAATTTAATGGAGAATTAAATGTCCGTTTTAAAGTACGGATTGCGGTTTCTTGATAAGTTGTTAATGATGGGTGAAGTGGATTGTTGGTTATCCGATGTTTGAATAATATTCGGGGATATAATCCTACTAAATAAGATTTGTGAAGTAATTATTATCGATATTGTATAACGAACATACATACAAGCATATACAAAGTATGTATACATACAAGCATAAAGACCAGTAAAAAAAGGGCCACGCCAGATATTTGACCATAGAGACCCATTTTCGAATCTTTTTCGTAATTTTTGATAGTGACTAGCAAACCTTGGGTCTAGCTTACTTTTACGATCAAAATCGCATTTCATTATAATGAAGAATATTTTTTTACTTATTATTAACTATTATTGTTATTATTAACTAATATTTTTTTATAATTAGTAATACAATTATAATTAAACGAATGTTTTCTAGCACTTGTGATGAAATTCAATAATTTAAAAGAGTGTGAAAAAACAATTTCGATAAAAATGAAAAAGGAAATTATTTAGACAGCGTTCGGGCAAATTTTAACAATTTTTAAATAAAAAGAACTTTTCATATGAATCTATAACTTAAGTCGTTCCTTATTCAAATATAGTTTAAATCATAACAGCATCCGTAATTAATGTTAATTTCCTAATTTAAACATTCATTTAATTATTAAAATAAGTAATTCACGTGTGTTAATCATAAAATACAATACATTATAAGATTAACATTTCGAGAAAGTCATTCTACGACTTAATTGAATTTTTTATTGAATTTTTTTGAGTCGCATAAAAAATTGAGTCGAGGATAGTTTTCTTCATGGAACGTAATTTACCAAAGATCTATGCCGAACGGAAATTATATATAAAAAATTTAAAAATGAGTGACACCAAGGGAAATGGGACTCTAGCAATATAAATTTATATTGGTGAAGTTCCATTTTTCCTTGACATCACAAAAAATATAGTAAATATACGGACCAGATATGTTAAAAACATATTATAAGTCGTTTATTTTACGGGTTGTGCGCAGGACTCACCGAGAGTAGAGGCCTGAATATACATACCGTAGAAGTTATTTCAGCATAATTTCTACCAGAATTTTGGCATGCGAATTGCCTAATGTTGAGTCAAAATTAATGTTATAAGTGCCGAAAGTATAATTCATAATTGATATGTCACTTGATCTAGTGATATTAAGTGATGTAATAAGAATAGAAAAAAAGTATATAATTCGATTCATAAATTCTTTTATTATTTATAGCGATAATATAGTCACATAACTATCATTATTAAAATTTATAAGACAAAATTGCGGCAATTAATGACATATTTTAGGTTTCGGCTTTTGTTTCGGATTACGGCATAAATTATGATTTGCGGCTTCATTCAATGCCTAAATACTGGAATCGCACGTGATTTTTAATTTGCAATAGTAATCAATTTAGACGATCTCTAAATACTTTGGCACAGCAACTAATTTCTAAAGCCTGCATTAGGACTCGTAGCCTGGTAGCTATACATGGGTGTCTAAATTATTCCTCTTAATAAAAAATTATTTCGACATTTAGTCTGTTGAAACTAATTTTTCTTAATGGCGAAATTAAATTTCATAGAAATTATTTGAATTCTTTATGTTAGGTAGTATAGTTACTTTGTGGAATTCATATAAAAAACTAGCAATGTCGAAATGTTTGTCAAAATTGCTTTTTAAAAAAAATAATATAGACACCCATGTATACTGGTAGCCCATTTTACGGGCAGCGGAGCCTAATATATAGGTTTACATATGATAAATTCTTATCATAAACTTTTAATCTAACTACAGAATAGTAAATATGTTAATCGAGACCCATCAATATAATCATAAGAACTGCAAAAGATCGTTTTGGGCCAGATTGACAAGTTCCGATATCAAATTGGATATAATTCGGGTGTTCTTAAAAAATTTTTTTTCATATAATAAATGAATTGAAAGATTCTCTGAATTGAATAATATTCTTCTATAAGTGAACGAGAAGCTTCACAGACAATCGATTTAATGTCACAAGTCGGCAATATAAAAGTGTAATTGCAAGGTAGGATTAATGTGAACTATAAAAAGGCGAATTTATATACCGATACAGTATATAAATGTAACTATATATATCTGTATATCTGGTATATATCAGATATTTGATTTTAAATTGATTATTACTAACAAATTTGTAAATTAAAAATTACGTGACGCATATAAATACTACTGCGATCCCCAAAAAAACAATTGGCCATTTGCTATTAATAAAAGCTTTCGGCGCAAAAATTTAGATATGTTCTTTCTACTTTGTATTAGGGTTCGGAATGGGCCGGGTTTCTCTAAATTTAAGCCCAAGCTCAAAGAAATTTTATAAACAAGCTTAAAAGTGGATGTCACCGGCACGCCCCTGTTGTTTCAATAATTATATAGGTTCTTTCATATAATCATCATCTCTCTATCATGAATTGTTGTGTCTGGATTATATATCTAATGCCATATTTTATTCTGCTATCTTCGTTACAATGTATATGTTATTAAACGAATTAGATTTCGTATTAGCCATTTTCATTTTATACACACTTATAGTTAAATATAAATCATTTTATTTAATCGATTAGTTGAAAAGATTCATGAAACCGAATAGCCTATTTCAAACACTCATACCGTAAAATCTCGAAATAGCGGGCATGGGCGTTATTTCGAAACTTGGCCCGAATTAAGCTTAATTCGGGCCAA